GATTACATATAAATTATAAAATTAAAACCATCTTCTAGAAGATCCACAAAGGCTATCTTACATAACGTTTCATGGATAACATAATTAGTTAAATAACTTAAAATTTTAAATTAAAAATCTCATATTTAAAACTTAAGGCCGGTAAGGAAAATTTTGGCAAAAAGAGAAGGTTATTCTCTTTTGTCAGCACATCATCAGATGCAGTGATGAACCAAGAAAAAAAAGGACCATCATATAGAAGAGGGTTTGCAGCAATTTCTAATGGTTGTTAGTGTTGTAATGCACCCATACGGTTGTGTCTGCTCTTTTCTTGTAGCTGACCCATTTATTCAAACTTAGTTGTTTTGTAATTTGGAATGAGAAACAATCTCTTTACAGAGATGATCATCAAAGAAAAATATCTGTTCTTCTGCAGTATAAATGATCCTGCAATACCATAGCGTAACATGTGCATTGTTGTAGCATTCCAGACGTGATTCATTGATAGTCGAGGAGGCCGGCTTATGCCATGACCTCCACAGCAAAAACCAAGGATACAATTCAGTACACAAGCCATGCCATGGAGATTCCATTAGTTTCAAAGAGCATACAGGATTACACATTATCCACTTATGGAATCGTTCATCTAGGAAATGTTTCATCTCACACAATAAGATTAAAGTACGAATACATAAAAACTTCTACCTTTATTCTTAACAAACACACAAGGGCTATAATAAAAACTACAATATAACCGACGGTACGTCACACACTAACTACATTATATGGTAGGTTTCTCACTTGACATACTTGGCAAACCACGCCAACAAATCTGCATGAGCTTCATCTGCAGGCTTCACAGCTGCTTCATCATTGACATCATACCTCACTGTCCAACCATGTGCCACTTTAGGAAATATCTTCACATAGCTATCAACCTACAAAGGATTGAAGAATATGTTAATCCAAACCCAGAAAGAATTAACAAGGATAAGTCATCAGCGACATTTCATGATTACATGCAATAAAGACGTAAAGGTGTCAAGTTGAAGGCAACCACCACGAAAAAAAGCCCTTTTTACTCTAAATTTAAATAATATCAGATTCTATGATTTCATAATCTTTTCAGTTCTAAGTGTTTGTCTATCTTAAAATGCCAAGATGAATATTAGAAGGAAGGAAATATATATATATATATATATATATATACTTGAGTGCATTCATGAATGTATATATGAAAGTACCATCATGTCATGGGAACAAGCACCTGCCACATTACAGCTGATTATGAATGTAGGAAAAATTAAAAACAGATATTGGGTCATCTTATACCTCAGGCTTAGCATTCAAGGCATCTTCAAACTGTTTCAAGAGTGAAGGTGGAGAAATTTGGTCCATCTCAGCACCTAGCACTGCAATGGGAGCCTTAACACCTGCAAAATTCCAATGATCATTTAACATTAAGGCTGTCTGCATCTTGTCAATTACCACACACACTAGGAAGATGAAACCAGAGAGGGAGTCCCCAATTTTTTTGCAGGAAAATTCTCACATAACTTTAAAACATGGTGATTTGAACCCAAGTGATTTTTTCTACCTGCCTACACTAGTCCAAATGTACAAAGATGGGGTGACAAAGGATATAGGCATCTGATCCATTAAATATTGTTCTTAGTTATAATGTGACGAGGTAATGCACACTTCATGTCTTCATGTGCAATTGGTAAAACAACCACTGCTAGTAATTAATTCAGTGCTGGTACTTGTACTGACTTTGGTTCTTCAAAATCAAGGCCAGAATAAGTAAGAGGTGGTAGCCATCAGGGCATGAATGTGATTTTTAAAGTTTCTTTGAACATGCTGGGTATGGTTCCTACTTCCTAGTAAGTTCCTGAATCTGCAAGAGGGTAAGTAGAAATAAAGATGTTTTTTTAATAGGAGTGGCTGCACCATATAGGAATAGGGAGAGAAGTTAATGAAAATTAAGGTACTTGTTAAAACAGCTGATCAAAAAACAAAAAAAAGTACTTGTTAAAACTGGAATTAGAACTTTGTGATTGTGGTATGGACTATAAACAAGTTTAACTCCATGGAAGATTTTGGGCTATGCCCGTGGTTGATTTGGCAAATGGTCTCTCTTACTAAAGGGGTAAAAGTATCAACCATCTCTTCAACTAAGATGAATTCGATCAGCTCTGGCACTATTCCACAAAGAAAAAAGAATTGCTATTCACAAGCCAACAAAAAAAACTTTAAGTTCAACTAGTGCTTCTTCCTTAAAATCTCTTTAGAACTCACCTTATGTGTCACCCAATATAATAAACATGCTATGAAACTAGCAAAACATATTTGAAATGTCAAGCACGAGAAATGTTACCTTTGATATCATCCACACTGACAAATGATGGATGTAACAGCACAGCTGCCTGAATAAGCCCAGTGTTTGCTAATTGAACCACAACTTGAGCTGAGAATTACACAAAAATTATTAGCCAACTAAGGTGATAAAACGTGCATTTTGAGCTGAACTTTCATAATTTAGATTGCTTTTATGCTACAATTCCAGTAAAAGAATAAAAGATCGTATTAATACAAGAAGATTCTGTATTATGTAATGAAGCCTTTAAAAGCCCCTGACGAGGTGTCTCAAGTTTTTAAGAGCTTAAGATTCCAAGTTGGAGATCTCAAGTTCAAACCTTGAGACAAGTGAGGAGCGATTATACAAAGGGGAGGGCTATCCCTTGTTGTATAGCCCATTATCTAATGTACTAGAAAGAAAAAAATGAAGCCTTTAAAAGTAGAAGACTGCACAAATAAATAACTCACCACCCCAACAGAAACCAGCAGCCCCAATTGCTGATATTCCTTTACTTTTCAAAGCATCAACTACTGGCTTTACATCCTCAAAACCCTTATCCTAAAAGAACAAACACAATGTTTCAGAGCATATAACTTAAAGAGAAATGCTTGATTACAAGAATCAAAACAAACAAGTCAAGCATTGCATAAAGGTCCTTTCTCAAACAGTCAAACGAAGCTCATTTCCTAACTTAACCAAGAAACAGATTCCAAGAATTTATTAAAGTGGGAAGGACTAACTGCTCCATGATCTTTTATCCAAACCATTACAGGCCTTTCAGAGTTTTCAGGTGCAAAGGGATCGCCATAGAAGAAATCAGGAACCACCACATAGAACCCTGCAGCTGCAACCTTGTCGGCAAGCTTTCTTTTACAACAGAAAACAGCTGGAATTAGCATGGGGAATTTTATTCCATTTAGATTTTAACTAAATAAACTATATATGGTCAGATTCAATTGATGAGGCACCATTCTACCATATTCACTGCCAATAAGTGCTAACTTGCAACATCATATTTTTGTCATTTTTGTCATGCTAAAGTTTTGTTTGCTAAGTTATAACTAAACGAGGTCCTTCAAAAATTCCACAAACAAGCCCAAGTTTATCTTGTAGGCAGATATGCAAATGCAATCCATATTACTAAAATCAAATCCAGTGTGGTAGACCAATGCTGTTAACTACTGACCTACATGGTTGGTACTTACTATGCTACTCCATTGACCCTTAAACTAAGGATAGTCAACCATATTTGTTACCCTAACCTCCCCTCCCCTCTCCCTACCTCCAACCAAGGAAGGAAAAAAAAAAAAAACTGCAGACAAAAGATAGTCATATATCCGATCAATGTTAAGTTAGTCAACCGGTTAAATAAAATAAAACAATGCAGCTGTCAAACTTGGCATCATTTCCAAGGAAAGTGCCAAACTTTATGGTGAGCAAATGGTTGCTAGATAACTCAGAAGGATTTACAGGGACCTAACTCATGCTTGCTACAAGTCAGCTGAGGATATAGAGAACAAAGTGTACTCATGTACTTGCATCCAAGACCAAGATCAGTATTGAAAAAGATTCAACACAAAGAAAAACATCCGCAACAATTGATTTTGACTGTGCCAATAAAAAGTATCTATTAGCTTCAGAAATCAACTCTCCAGCATTAGCCATACCTCAAGTTTGGAGCTTCATATCCTGCAGAGCAAAGACAATAGACTAAAATTAGAATATGATAGCTAGAGATGGTGATGGTGACAAGTGATGGAAAGAAATAGAAGCAATTGAATGAAAAAAGAGAAGGGGAAGAACTTATATATAATCATACGACAAACTAATACAGGATTAAATCATAATAAACTATCAACATCAAACCCAAATCACCAACTATTCTTCTTTCATGAGTTACAAAGTCAGGGAGAAAACATCCAGCAAATCAAACACAAAACCCAGATAAAAATTGCTCAATACACAAACTACATCTTCCACAACTAAGCAGCAGAAGTGCAAAGTTAAATAAATAAGTGTTTGTAGACCCATGACATAAACCACATGAAACGCCAGCAGGTGGCACAACTAATTAGGAGCACGATAATTTTAATTTAGAGATCTTATATTCAAATCTTGAAGTGGGTCAGGTGGGATTTGAGAAAAGGGGCATCTTGAATAACCCAAATGTACCCCAAAAAAATAAAATATATCACATGATGAAACTGCTCAAACACTACACATAATCCATAAGTCAACAAACCCAGATAGAATATGCTAAAGCACACAACCCCAAATCACAGACTGAAACAGAAACTCAAAATCACAAGAAATTAAGGGAAAGAAACATGAATCTTGAAATGGGGGAAAATACCAAATATATCAGAGACAAGAAGAATGGCAGATTTGGAATTAGGAGAGCCGGTGACATAGGACTTGAGGCCACCAATCTCCTCAACATGGCCTCCTCCACTGTTGGGGTTCAGTGTTGGTGGGTTCGAACAGCACTGAGGGCCTGACATATTCTTCCTTTTTCACTCCTCTGGATCGGACAGAAGAAAAGCAAAGTGAGGAACATAGGGCAAACATGTCTGAGAATATATAAGCGGCAGGTGGAGGAACCTGGACAGTAGAATGATCCATCTTTATTATTATTATTATTACTATTTTGGTAAATGATCAATTTTTATTATTACTTAAGCACTCACGTCACCATTTAAAATGAATTTCTTTTATTACTCGTCTGATTCGAAAATTGAATTAAACTCAATTAATTTAAAATTAAAACGCATTAAGTTTTGTATAAAAGGAAATTTTTTAATATTTATTTTTTATATGTAAGATTTAATTTAAAATTTTATTTAAAATAATCAAATTTTTTTCCACCTAAATCAATAAATTTTGGTATCTTTTGGTTTGGTGAAATTTAATGCAAATTTGATTCTTTTTTCTTGGTGGGTTGTATGGTCTCATTCACGTCATTTTATATAATTATAATCGATTTTCGTAACTCTTACGCTTATGATAGTTGGATAGTATATTTTCAAATTTTAATGTTGACTTTCATGTATGATCTTCTTATATTATAAAGAATATTTTTTTAATCCTTAATTTGTTCTAATATTTTTTATTTTAAATTATTATTATTTTTTAAATAAATAAATATTTTTTATTTTTTATTTTATTATTTATTTATTTTATATCACTTTATTTTTTAAAATATTATAAATATATATAAATATTATCTCAAAATTATGAGATAAAGTGAAAAAATAAATTATTTTTAAAAGGAGAGTATCATATGTCCTATAAATAAAAATATTAATTAAAAATTAAAAAAGATGTAGTAATAGTGCTTAATGAATTAGAAATGAATGGAGATTTATTATTGATATTTTTATTTTCTTACTTCTAACTACTAATGTTTTAAAATATTGTTTGTTACTTAAAAAACTCATTCCCACTTTAGTTATACTATTGTTTTTAGTACATTAAAAAATTAATTATTTAGTACTATAATAATTTAAATATTTGATTTTAACTTTAAATTAAAAATTTTAAATTAATGAAATTGAACCAAATTTTTATTGGTGTCTTATTATTTATTAGAGCATTAAATATTAGTTGTGCGTTTGCCCTATGTTTTTATAATTAGAGGTATTATTTAAATTTTTTATTTTTATTTTAAGGGATAATCTTACCTAAATTTGGAATTATATATTTCAAACTACCTTTTTAGGAATTACCCTTATTTTTAAAATATAATTATAAAATAAAAAATATTATAATCACAATACCAAATTGTATTATAGGATTATCACACACTGTATCATTATATAATTAATTTTTTATTTAAGGATTCACTCATAATATTATATCTTATTATTTGTTTAATGACATATTATATTCATTTAATATCACATTATGATTATAAACTTATAATCATACGTAACATTATAATTACAAAATTTTTAAATTATAATATATATAAATAAATTCATCTATTTTAAAAATTAATTCATCCATTTAATTTTAATAAATACATTTTTAATTTGGACATTTCCCTTTAATTTTTTTTTCTTTTCAGAATGTTATTTAATATGTTATTTCTATTTTATTCTTATTAAGATAACTACCATAACATATATTAAGCAAAAAATCTTATTTAAATAGTAATAATTAACTAAAGATAAATATACTATGAGATAAATATAATATAAGTTTAGTGTATAACAGTTTCAATTTAAAAAAATTAAAATTTCAACCTATATTTAAAATTCTAATCCATATTTAAAAATTAAAATTTTAATTTAAAATTTATAAATTCACCTTAATATATGTTAATTTTTAAATTTAAAAACTAATTATATATTCTATTACAATTAATTTTTAAATTTAAATATCAACATTTAATAAAGTAAAATTTTAAATTTTAAATTAAATTTTACTTAAATAAAATAATATTATTAAATATACAATTTTAATTTATTTTAAAAAATTAAAATTAATATGTATTTTTTTCATATAATACTTTATCAATATTTTTTTTTTGGTATTAATCTCTTGATATTCGATAATCATATTAGATCCCAATTAATCCGTAATCGAGTCACGTCGAACCCCATTAAGGGGAAGCTCTTTTAACGCATCTTTCTCCATTCATAAAACTCGAATTCGAGATTTTACTTAAGGGAAACTAAATTCTTTCTACTCGAATCAACATATCGTTGGTTTTTTTTTTTTAATTTTCTAAATTTAGTTTGTAGATAGAATTTTGTTAAATTTAATATTCTCAATTTAGTTTTTAGATAAAATTTGATTAGATAAATATATATA